GCCCGGCGTGCGCTGCGCCGAGCTGGGCGCCCGGGGCCCTCTGAAACGGCTTGGAGGGCCCCGTTGTGTCCCCCAAGGAGCGTTTTTGAGGGCAAATCTTGGCTCTGGTTTCTTCACCTTGGTCACTTATGTGTTTCCAATGGATCCACCTAGGTCTGTGTCTCTGTGCTGCTCTAGGACACCAGCAAAGGACTCTGGTGTCTAAAACATTGTCCCTTTTTCCCAGCTTCTTTTTTTTTTTTTTTAATCTTAGAGGAGGAGATAATATCTAGCATTCTCATGATTCTATCATCAAATTTCTCATCGCTTTTTCTGCCACTTTCCTTATTTTTATCCCCCAAATGTCTGCTATCTGCATTTAAGATATTGGTAATTTGGCACCTGGCACGTATTATCAGCTAAAAAAACACAAAGTTAAACATCCCAAACGGCTGCTCTCGTTTTCAAGGTGTTCCCTTGCTTAGTCTTCATCTCCTGAGTCCGAGGAAATCCTCCTAGTTTCTCCCTAAGCTGCTCCTTAGCAATGAAATGTTGTCCTTTTCCTTTTCAAGGCAAAGAGCTCTTCCTTTTTATCTCCCAATCTACCCAGTGGCATTTTGGGGTGGTTTTGCTTCCCCCCTCCCCACCTTGGTCTTTCAGTTTTGCTTCATCCTTTGAGTGCTTTGTAATATCTCTGTAATGCACCCTTTCCCCGACGCTGCTTTTTTAAGTTATAGACCTGAGAACTGGCAGAACCAGAGATGACCGCGAGGGGGACCTTGAATTCTGCAGTCCCTCAAAATAGCTGTTCTGTAGCTCATCCTGGCAAGAGCTTTTAAAAGTAAAATGTTGTTTATTAAAGTAAGCTTAGGCAGGTACTAAGGTGCAGAAAGCAACCCACCTTTAAGGCCACATACTCTTCTCTGTGTTTATTACTTGCATTTATTTGAAAGACTCCTAGTCTGAGGCGCAGTAATTACAAGCGAGCCCTCGTTTCACCAGCTTTTCCTATCATTAAATGTTTTACTTACTGAGAGGGTTATGTGGCAAGAAAATTATTTAGCCCTAAAATACAGTATTTTCTGTCTGTCTGAAGTCTTGTATTAATACTATATGTGTAATTATTCAATTAGCAACCACTCACAAATTATTTATTGTTTGTCCTTTTTACTTAGGCTTTTAGCACCTTTCTGAGGTATTTTGTTTGCTTTATCTCATGCAAAAAATTAACTGGCCTGTGCCTGTCTTATGAAACAATCCAGCATTTCTCCTTTCCTTGCTTTTCAGATCAAGTGGGGAGCCTGTGGTCTGGTCCTGGCTGGCAACGCCGTCATTTTCCTCACTATTTTAGGCTTCTTTCTTGTGTTTGGTCGAGGAGATGACTTTAGCTGGGAGCAGTGGTAGGACGTCGCTCCGACACTGGTAACGTTTGACAGCATCTGCCACCATGTGCATCCCCTGCCTGTGTATGTGTGTAAAAATATTATAACGTGCATCCGTGTGCGTGTGGGGAGGATGTGTGGGCTCACACGAGTCGCCCTCCGTTGCCAGCTCATAACGTGCTTTCCAAAACGTGAATCAGGCAAAGGAGAAAGGCCCTTGTGGCTGCCTTTTAAGTGTGCTCAGTGCAAGCCCGAATCACAATTACAATGTTTGTCCACAAATACGTTTACAAAGCATTAACTATTTTGCTTATTTTTCACACTATGTGCATTAACTTTTTTTTTTTAATCACAGTAACATTGACAAATGTGGCATTGGTTAAGCAGCCTGTTGTGTTTTAACAATATAGTCAAAATAGACCAATATAAAGATTGTCTTACTGTTCAACTTCATTTGATCTTTCTGCCTCGGTTGGGGATGAATGAATATTTGTTTTCCATTGTAACTTTGGCAGGATTTTTTGATAATATAAGACTGAATGTCACTTATGCCAGAACCTGTTCTGCACTATAGAAGAAAAGAAAATAACGACTTTGTTTAAAATCCTCCCTTCCATTTATGCTGCTCACTTAGCATTTTTCTTTTCCTGTAAGGGTGTTCTGGTTTATCCATATATGACTTACCATTCTGGCTATATATGGGGAGTTACCTGATATATTTAATACCTTTTGCTATGCTCAGGCCTGAAATCATTTCTTTCATAAGTACTCACAAAAGACAACACATTTGAAACTGCTTTCATGATCTCAGGATGCTGATAATGGCAGTGTAGTGTACAGCTCTGTATCCCTACGTGTGAAGGACCTGGATTGCAAAGAAATGAGTGTTCTGCTGAGTGAGTCCCAACAGCAGAAACTGTAGGACTTGGTATCTCCTCAGTTCTTACTGCTTTAAAACATATTTGACTGAAACTACTGCTTTCTATGTCTGTGAGAAAAGATTATATTAAAACACTATTTTTAAATAGCATTATCCTGGTAAATGTTCACATAATCACACATAAAAGCAAAGTTTATTGCTGTTTTGACTTGATGAAGCCTTCCAATAGTGGAGACATGTGACTTTATAAAGTTGCTTTCTGATACAACCCTAATTCTAGAGGACACTTCAGAAATATGAAAAGGGATGAAGAACAGACACTCTAACTCAGTCTTTTGTGAAAAATGGGCAGGAGGTGATTATTGCTATGGTGATGATGGTATGGTGTGTGAGGTGAATCCTGCAGCATTGAGGAATGCTGAGTGCTTGGAGTTCATACGTCTGTCTAGACTGTAATTCTTGTAAAAGAAGAATTAACGTTAAAGGACAAATTTTTGTTTGTTTTGTTTCTTTGCATGTTAATGGTTCATCACAGC